GGGTGTGAATACAAGATGAGAAATTATTGACACCATTTCTGGAAATAATCAGATTGTGGCTGTTTAAAATAAAATGATCACAAATTTTTTGACACTCTTCCCATGGAGAAGTGTAATCCATGTCCCATACCCCTGAAACTGGGCAAGCTCGTGCCCAGTTTGACTTAACAGAGCACAGCAGAAGTGATGTGCCATATGATTGCCCTGGCTACTCCAGGCTTCCTCCTGCTTCTCTTGGAACCCCAGCTGTTGGGATATCACCTGTTGGAATACTCCCTCTCAGAACCTAGCCACCAACTAGGAAAAGCCCAAACAAGAAGGCGAAGCCACATGTCGGTGGTTCCAGTCAACATTCCCAGCTGAGCCCAGCCTTAGAATAATCCCAGCCCAGCAACCTCACATGTGATGACAAAGCCTCCAGAGGATTCCAACCACGTGAGTATTCCCAGCTGAAGCTCCATACACGGTAAGACAGCCAACCCTGCTGTGCCCTGCCTGAATTCTTAACCCACAGAATCCCAGAGCTCTTTAAAAGGCCATTGTTTTACCCTGTTTTTGTTTTTGTTTTTGTTTGATAGTGTTGGCGGGGGCTATTGGGCAGCAAGAATGACTGGAACAAACCCCAATCTCTACATTTTTCTCCATTATTCACAAGATCATATTTTTTCTTAACCTGAATAAACAAGTTAGTAACAGATGAAGTTTGACTACCAATAATTTTGTTTGCCTTTCTGGGATTTAGAAAAAGGATTTAAAAGCATTTTTAACTGTTCAGATAAAATTATACAATAAGGCAGAAGTTTTATTTCTCAACAGTACATAATTACTTATATGATTATTAATAATTCAACAAATATATATTAGACATCAGAAACTATTTTAGTTGCTGATCTTTTAACAATGAACAACACTAAGTCTCTGTCTTCCCAGAGCATAGAATTGGTGAGGTGCCAAAGACAATAAACAAATAAATACATAATAGCGAAAAAAACAAACATTTATTGAGTGCTTACTATGTGTCAGGAACCGTAATTACGAGTGCTTTAAATGCTAATAAATAATTTACACCCTACCGCAATCTATGAGATCAGTACCATCATTATTCCCATTTCAAAAAAGAAGAAACAGAGGTACAGAGTGTTAAATAACTTGCTATCTTCTTGTTTAGACACTGGAAACCAAATGATAAACCAATAAGAGGTACGCAAGTAGGCTCACGGATATGCCGCAAATAATGAAGCAGGAAAAGATAGGGACTGCCCATATTTAGCCAATTCCATCCTCGTTTCCAGCATTTACACACCTACTATGTGTCAAGTATTACACTAGGCTCTTGATAAGCTACTGTGAATAGAGCAGCCATCTCTCTGGTCCTTAGTTTATACATGTATATGCACACTTGAAATCATAAAGTTTTTTCATAGCATATATTTCTCTCTGTGCTATTTTTATTTTAGAAGATAAACCCCTCAGGACTTGTACTACATTTTTTCCACAGTCTAAACTGCCACTAAATGCCACAGATATAAGAAGGTACTCCTGACTTTTAATAAAACAGGTTTCCAAAAGTTTCCTGTTCATAACACTAGATCCAAAATCCGTGGATACAAATGTATAGATATTATGAAACCAACAAGCCTTGACAAAGTAGGAAAAATATCATTTCACATCAGCCAGACATCATGTTTGCCATCTTCCATTTTAGTTAACACCTCTGTCTCATGACACTCACTTCAGAAATACGTAGCTTTCAAGGGAGTTACAGACCTAAGTTTTACAGCATACTTCTTTTAGAATAGATAAGTTATTGGGCTTTCTTTTCCACTTCCTGGGTATAAGACTGGTTCAAGTGATCGTGCGCCTTTTTCAGAGTAATAATTTTAGCCAACAACAACCTGTGCTTTCACTACGCAGCTGCTGGAAAAGGCCGCTTCCTACAAAACAGTAAATCTTGTTTCTTTCCTAGGCTACAAGAAGCTAACTTTTAGCAGCTTGGAGAGAACACAAGTGGGTTTACCCACCACTTTACACCCCCTTAAGCTAGCAGAGAGTAACTCCCAGGGACCACCTATTGAGTCAGTCCTCTATCTATACAGGATGAAATTTCCTGTTCTTACCACTAATGTATTACTTTCCTCTCCAAAGCAAAGGATACTCTTACATACCAGGGTGTTCCCACTACCACAAATTTCAATATAATTTCATTGTGGGAACAAATGGCAACAAACACCATATGAAATCCATTCATGAAGATATACTCATCTGAACTGGAAAAGAACTGAGTGTTTAGTATTTATTCTCCATGGATACTGCAAGAATTAGGGGACAGGAAGATATTTCTGTTTAGAAGTTAAACTTCAAAATTTAAAACCAAAGTTATTTTCTAATACTGATAATAAAGTAATCCTGAATTATTTTCCTAGAATCCTCACAAGTAACATTGATTAAATCATTGCAGAATGTTTGGCCTGTAATTTCTATAATGAAAACAACAGTAACTTACACTCACTTTAAAAATAATGTTTTATTAATTTAATAATTAGAATTAATGTCTTATAAAAAGAAAGCACTAAAGATTCATGAATATCTTTCAGAATAAAAATTAGTCATTCCTTACGATGGTGGTCTTAAAACTGAGGCACAGCCCTTCCTCCACAGACCTCACCAGCTGCCATACATTGTGAGAGGATCGTGCCTAACAAGCCTGGCAGGGGTTATAATCGTTTGCTTTTGGTTGCATCGTATATGGTTTGCACAAGTACTTTCGCTTCCATATTTGGCATATAAAATCATTTAACCTAAGCAGCACTATCCAAACCAACTTCACTTCATATTAAAACTTTCTCTTCAAGACTGTAAAGCTACAGCAATAGTAATGCTAAGTGACTACACCAATTGTCAGGTTACCGCAATAGCTAGGCTAAAGCCAAAATGTTTCATTATTTTAGTTATACTAAGTTTCCATCTGTATTATCAGGGCTAGGGCTCATACCCTTCAAACCCATTGTAATGACTGGGTCACCAGACCCCTCACATGCCAGGCTGGGTCACAGACCCCTGACACACAGGTCCATGCTAGATAATTGGGAAAGATCCTGGGAGCCACTGGCAGATGACACGAGCTCAGTTCTCAGCAGTAGCAGCAGTAGCAGCAGAAGCAGCAGCAGCCTCCAGCAGCAGCAGCAGCAGTAGCCTCCCAGAGGGTCTCAGGGGCTCGTGGCAGCAACAGCCTGCAGCAACAGCCTCCAGCAGCAGTAGCAGCCTCCCCATGCCCCCCCCAACCCCCAAGGGGTGCATCCTGGGGTTGGGGGGCCACTGTGGATCAGAGCCGCTCGTCCTTTATACTTAAGTCCATAACCCAGGACACCTGGGTGCACATGTGCAATTACATTAAACGATAACCAAGGAAAACCTGGATGCATGTACACATTTACAATCAAACCCTCGGCAAGATTCTGAACATCTGAGGGGCCCTGACCATTTTCCTGTGTTTTCCCTCCAAAGACATCTTTCTAATAATTATACATTCTTACAAATGTAGATAATCCCTATGCACGGCACAAAAAAGCATGTAGTCAGGCAAACTAAAATGAAAAATTAAATTATTTAAGAACTACAGAATGCTGGAAATGGGAAGACCCACAGAATCATCCAATTCAATCCCATTGTTTCAAAGATGAGGAAGCTCGAGCCCTAAAAGTTTACTCTATGAATCATGATTTTAAAAACGTTTTTTTTAAAAAATCGGCTGCATAGTTTACACAAATTACTTAAAACACTAATTTTCAAATGGCATTCCTTTGCTTGTAGGGCTGATCAGGAAGATCTCAGGGGTTCTGGGCTACCCATCTCCTCTTCAACAAGATCAGCTCTTGTTTTACCTGTTTCATCTTTGGGGTTCAGCAAACATTCCATGTGAAGAAGGATCACCCTGCTGTAACGAATCTAATGAGCATACTTTGGATAGTTCAGTCAACTCTGTAATTTGTTTTCCTAGTCCAAACTTAGACTTTTTCCATTCTAACAATCACAACAGCACCATAAGATGGTGAGATGGCCGGGCCTCAAAAAAAACCAGACAACTCAAGAGGATAACCAGACCGTGGCCCGAGGTGCACAAAACCCTGAGTCATTGTCTTAAACTTTCCAAACTAATCAACCACAAAATCAACACAAGCAGAAACAATAGGGTAGTGCCATGTCTGCAGCTCCAAAGCAGATAACAGCACCACATTAATACCAGATACTGACAGCCTGTGTGCACTCTTATGCCCACTTTAGAAAACTCTGGACCTGGGGCTGTCAAAGAAAACTTCAACTGATACTTGTTCATTTGTTTACCTTTGACAGAGGACATTTTACTTCTATAGTCACAAATCACATCTACAGGAGGCAAATCTGTGTTTTACCCAACAGGTGTGTCTCATTTCAATTACATAAAGACAGTGGAAGAGAAACAAAATTTCTCAAAATAAAATTTGAAATACAGATTTACTCCTTTTATAGGAAAATGTTACCCAAAAAGTTATTAATTTAAAACCAATTATTTGTATTTTGTTTTTAATCATAGAATAAACATTTTGCGAAAGAAAGTAACCCTTGCCAGGGATCTTTCTCATACTGAATTGGCTTAAAGACCTATAGAATATAAAGAACAGGTAGACAAATACTTATTTCTTTAGCAGACTTCTAAAAAGTTTTTCAAAAGTAAAGGTTTTAAGCAATCTTTAAAAAGATTTATAAATTATGTCGGTGATGGGCCATAATAATCATATACAGTGTATATTGACAAAATAAAAATTTAACGAAAAAAAAAGATTTATAAATTAAATTATGTTATAAAGCAATCTGAAATGCAAAGGTTAAAAATCTAAGTATAAGAAAAGGGAACATATTCCTATACCACCTATCTCTTAAAGACCCAAGTATCTAAAATATTCTATTACAAATATGTTTTACTATTCTGAACTTCTATACAAGGATTCAAGTAAAATACTCACAGTTACTTATCACTCCTCCCAGTGGATCGCCTTTAAAGTCAAATTCAATATCCATATATTTGCCCTGCCAAAGAAAGACTTTGTGAGTTTTCAAGTTCACTTCAAAACATTCAGTGTACTTAGAGAATAGCACACTAAGCCCTTATCTTTATGCATTTGTTTAAATGTAATTAAGAAAGGCATAGTTTACGTAACCACGATGCAAAACAATACGCCTTCATAAATAATTCATACTAAATACTTCATTGGCTCAAAGCTAATATATCCTGTTGCTAATTTAAAAATATATCTTCTCAGCCATCATGTGATTTTCCATTTCAAATATGTGTTTCAAACTTCTGAAGAGAGTGTGTACTCAAGAATAAAAACTGGGGAAAATAAGTAGTCCCTCTATAGGCACTGGTTTGGAAGATAAATTACTTCATTTTCATAGGCAAAATATTTTCTAAGCCATGGCTAGAAACTCCAAACACACCAGGACAGTGGATGAAATGGAACAGTCAGAGTTCAATTTTTATATCTACTCAAATTGAATACACAATTGTGTGGGGTAACCAGCTCAGAATCAAAGACTGATTATTATTACTTTTATTGGCTTTTGACCTAGATTATATAGCAATATATAACTCAGGTTCATATTACACTTTATAGATGGTATCAGAAACACACATGGAGTTTAATACTGTGATTTTTAAAGAACTGATCTATAATTGCCTAGTTAAAGAGTAACAAGTATAACAGAATAGCCCTGACAGCTGTTTCTTGTTTTGAAAAGGGTGTGTTGATCTAATAAGAAAAGTCTTTGGTTTTGTCTCATGCCCTAAGACTTACTTTAACTCTAATTTTCAAAATGATGGTAAGGGAGAAGAAACATGATCACATGGAACTCAGTCAACAATGCAATTTGTGACTTTTTATGAGCTCATGCATGCTCCCTCACCTTCTCCTTTTCCACTGTCTTGGGTCATCTACCCTTTAAGTCTTCACTTATGCATAGAGCAAATGCCTATCCATCACTTCCTTGATGTTGACGTAGGCACAAGGGAAAGCAAGGCACGGCTCCTGCCTTTAAGGAGCTTATAGTCTAGTGGGAAATTGACTGTACAAGGATGCCATGGTCACACCATTTATAAGTGTGGAATGAACTGGAAAGGAGTAAGACTAGATGTAGCTAACAGGAGGAGGTTACAGGTATTATGGGAGAAACATCGGTGGCTTTAAGTAGGAGCAGCAAAAGAGAAAAGTAAACAGAGTTGAGAGCTACCCAGGGTTGGATGTGGGGGATGAGAAAAGACAGAAAGGCCAGGAATGTGGCCCAGGCAAATGAGTGGATAGTGAAGCCCTCCAAGGTTGTGGGAGACATAGGCAACGCAGCTACAAAGGAGAAATGGAAACGTTGTCAAGGGAGTTAGAGGTTGACCTTGTAAGAGGGTAATTTTGATGGAAGGTGTCCCTGGGCTGAGGAAGCAACAGGATCTAGAGCACAAGTAGAGGGATCAGTGTGGAAAGGGGGTGTGTATACAGACACATGTACAGATGGGGCACCAAGAGGCAGGATTAATTGAGTTTAAGGGCCTGTATGATGATGATTTCTGTGAAGTATACCATCAGCTGAGGGTAAGGGACAGGTGGCTTGAATAGAGGAGAAGAAACACTGCAGAGAATGCAAAAGGAAGCCAACTAGGGATCAACGAACTACTGCACAGCTCTGGGAATCCAGCTGATAGTGAAATAGCACTTTCCCATTCAGCCCCATCCTGATTACTCACTGAAAGCTTGGTTCTGATCATGTCACTGGTCTACTCAGAAATAATCTGCCACTTCCCATCACCTACAAAATAAAGTCTGAGCCTCTGAACATGATACTCAAACCCCTGCAGCTGTGCCTTGGCCCATCTTTTTAGCCCTTTTCCTGCAGCTCCCTCACACCCAAAGGCCTCTGGCAAATGCAAGCCGAAGGTGTCTGTCTTCACACTTCGTCATGCTGTCATGCCAGCTCCTCCTGCTCACCACTCGATTTTGTTATATTTAAATCTTACAAGACAACTCAAAACTATCCTCTTCCCCAGAATCCTCCAGCTTCTCTTTCCTGAACGTCCATAAAACTTCATCTGTACCTTTCATGGGAAACTCACTATTTTATGTGTTGTGTTATAATTATTTTTAGACATGTACGATTTTTCTGACTAGTCTAAAAACTTCTTAAAAATAGTTATTCATTCCTCAGTAAATATTTTCTGAATGCCTACTACAGTACCAAGCACTGTTCTAGCTTACTGAAGCCACCACAGTGCACAAGAGGGCCATGGTAGTTGCTCCTGCAGCCCCTACTAGCATCTAGGGTCAATGATCATGTAAATGAAGTAAATGAATAATTCCAGAGACTAATTAATGCTTTAAGAAAACAGAAACAGAATGAAGTCACAGAGTCTATGAGGTTTCATGGAATTGACATCTGAGGGGAGACATAAATGATATGAGATGTCACAAGCCATGCAAAGATCTTTGGACAGGGCATATCATGCAGAAGTAAGCACAGCTGCAAAGGCCTACAGCTCCGAAGCGCTTGATATGTCTGATGGTCACAAAGGCCCATGAGGCTGAGACAGAGAAAGGAAGACATGGAGTGGGAGACGAGGCCCAGGTGGGCCAGACCCCAGTTCATGCAGGGTCCGGGAGGCCCAGGAAGGAGCTTGTATAGTATTCTAGGAGCAAGGTGGAGCCCTGGAGGCTTTCAGCAAGGCAGTGATGGGACTTAGGTTTGTAGAGGTCACTCCTGCTGCTGGTGGGGAAAGAGGGCAGGCTGCAAGAGGAGGTGAAGGGAGACCTATGTTTAATAGTGTTTAAACAATTTTTAAGCAAATGAATCATTTTGTGGTTTTTAAAAATTCTTATTGAACAAGAGGCTTGGCAATGAAATTTTCCCAGGCCTATAGGTTCTCTCCTACATTCTCCAGTGCCTAGTTCAGCTTTTTGCACACAGTAGATGCTCCACACATTACCTACCCCAGAAAGCCTTGGTCAAGAACAGCGATTTTCAAAGCCTTAAAGTGCTTCTTTCAAAAAGAGTGGTTCTCTTTTTTAATAGAAACTCAGTATGTCAAACTAGGGCTGTTGAGGTGGGGAGGGGGCACCGTGAGGAACCTCCATGGGAACACTGGTCCAAACTACCAGCTATGATGAGGCTGCATTAACTGTAATGGCAGCATCTACAGACTTCTCAGTGAAGAGATCAAGAAACTCATTCTAGGTTCCCAGTCAAACACAATCAGAGGAACTGCAATTTCCCTGAGTACAAGAACATCATACATAAACCACTGTTACGTACGGTAATAACTCCAAATAGTGTGGAGTCCTATTATAAAATTATAAGATGCATTTGGATATATTACTGGTCAAGTCACAGACTGCAAAGCAGAGAAATTACTAAAAACTGGGCAAGAAATGATTTAGTATATAATCAAATGTTAATCTCATATCATAATACCCGTGTTAAAATAGGATTTCTCTGAAGATACTTAATAAGTCAAATCACCTGCCAAGCCTTTGAATAGATTTCAAATATCACTAAGTAGTAATAACTTTTTAAGCAATATGGTTTGCTGCATTTTTATGATCTAGACTAAATATATTTGCAAAAATTTTTTAAAGTGTGTGTGCATATAATTTGCAAACAGCAAAAATAAAATCTTTATCACATAAAGGAGCTTGATCATTGGGATTATTTCTATCTGCCCACACTTCACTTCTAATTCTATTTATGTAATAAGATTAGCCTGTAACCACAACAGGAAAAGGCATGGATTAAATCAGTTATAACAACTGAAGGGGCTAATCCAATGGAAAAAATTCACAGCCTTGGAATTAGGAACCTTAGTTAGCCTTTCACTTTCTAAGCTTTCAAAACTATCTCCACCTGAGGTCATTTTCTTGCCTTAAGCACTGGATAATGCTACTCAGGGAAAAGCCAAAGGGAGCTAAAGAAGAAGGGGAGAAGGGTCAGGAAGAGCCTCTAGTAGAGAGGCATAAAAGATCATCAGAAATGGTTCCTGGCAGCACAAGCAATGTATGTGAGAAAACAGCTCATAAAGTAAATGATCTTTTATTATAAAAATGTATATACTTGGTCAAACTACAGGAAAAAAGGACCAATTTCAAAACACCACCATCACACTCAACACATTTTCACCAGCTACATCCAGGCAGTGTTTGTGTCTTTGTAACGACCAGAGGCATGAGAGAGCACAGCACAGCTAGAGGGGCCCAAGTGCACCACTGTGCAGGGCACATGCTGGGGCATGATGGGGGACAAGGCTCAAAAGGCAGGACGAGCCAGCATCCTATTAGTGGAAGTAGCATTTTCCAACTCAGCCAAGCTCAAAACATCGATTAGCTATTACTATTCAGTTCTACTCCCCACCACTGCCTCTTTGCATTTAGAGTCGCCAAACCTATTGATTTTACCTATATAACGTTTCAGAATACATCCCACCCTTTCTGGGTCCACTAAATAAGGGACAAGGGCTATAGAGCATACAAACTTGACACTCGGTTTATCTTTTACTTAATTTCTGACTCTTAATTATGATTTCTAAATACCAAAACTCAATTAAGTAAAGAATTATTCTAAATGTCCTCATGTAAACTGTTCATGGAATTTTATGGTGGAAGACAACAAGAAAACATGATAACAGTTTGTCACTCCTAGAAGAACTAAAAAGGAAAATTCCAGACAGCAAAAAATAATCCTCATAGAACTTTCAGTGTCTCAATAGAGATGGTATTCTTATTTTAAAAATGTGTGTATTAAGAAATATTCAACATCTACTGGTTGTTTAAACATACATGAGCTAAATATTAGTGTTAACACTTATGTTTATACAAATACTTACAAATCTAGAAGAGTTGTCATTCCTTACAGTTTTGGCATTTCCAAAAGCTAGTAAGAAAGAAACAGATGCATGATTAAAGTTGAGAGAAAAAATAATTTCAAGCAGAAAGATAAGGCAAACATAGTATCTGACTTTGATAACTTCTGGAAAATGCAATTTATAGCAATGACATTTCTGTCCAAAATTTCCATAAAAATTTAAGACTTCTTAACAGAAATCTAAATAAGCTGCTAAAGCTCCCATGTCTTATTATAAGTTCAAAGAGTCATTCCTATGATTCCTGGAATGTTTTCAATTATGACTACAGACTTAATCTGATTAATTCAACACCTTTTAACTCTTTTACATAGGAGGCAACTGAGTGGCCAGCAAGCAAGCCATCTGTGATCTTCACCATTATCATCAGTGAATAAGGTTATTTCAGAGATTACTTAAAATTATCAAAGGTTTTATGGAAGTTGATAAGGTTTCCAGATCAAGGAAAAAGGCATGTGAAACTTTAAACTGTTTAATTTTAAAATAAAGCTATTTAAATATGGTTAATTATATAATTCGGAATACAGAAAGAGCAAAAGATTTGAAAACAATAGTCATTTCCAATAGCCTAAAAATGCTACATAGTTTCATTAGTTTATGTCCATGAGACCTAAGGAAAATTTTCCAGAAAATAAAGAAAACCAAATTGGCTCATAACGCAAAATACAAGTCTGTGAAGAGACTAATCTTCCCTGGACTCCCTCTTAAATGAGGGTACCTAAGAAACACAGGGCTGAAACTGCCCCAAGCCCAGAATGCTCCTAATTTAACACAGGTAGTAGCATAGAAGCCTAAGGTTAAAAAAAAGGATTGTGTCACCAAGCCTGTGCACAAGATAGGGGCAAATTAATCTGGGAAAATGGTAGCAAAGGACTAAGTAGTATAAACATAAATGATATAAGTAGAGGGGATCTTGGTTTGGTGCTCTGGAAGCCCAGCAGCACATGTCAAACTTTAACATGCAAACCAATCACCTGAGGATTTTGCTGAAGTGCAGATTCAATGGGTGGGGAGGCATGAGATTATACATTTCTACCAAACCCCCACCTGCCCAGGCTGTCACTGGGGTCCAGGGGCCACTCTGCAGCTAGCAAGGACTGGAGCTGCATGAAGATGTGGGGAACAGAAAATAATCTTTGGAAGAGGAAGCTGGCAGAAAATCTCTGGACGCCTCCATAACTTCTTCAAATTAAACAAGGAGATTATTAGAGTAACAAGCACTCAAACGAGAACTAAGGGCTAAAAGCTGGTCTAGTTTAAAAAGCAGTGACCTGATCATGGAGTGAGGGTGCGTGTTTAAGTAGAAGTTAGCTTTGGATATTCAGCAGCTAAACCTGATGCGAACTAAGGGCTAAAAGCTGGTCTAGTTTAAAAAGCAGTGACCTGATCATGGAGTGAGGGTGTGTGTTTAAGTAGAAGTTAGCTTTGGATATTCAGCAGCTAAACCTGATGAGTTGTATTTTACATTAGGTGGCTTTTTCTATGCTTCTGATTAAAAAAAAAAATAATTGGCTCAAGTTCAATTGAGACAAAATTTACAAAGTCAAACATGTAAAGTTCTTTGCACTAGAGATGCTGCTTGGGCCAAGCATGGTTTAGTAGGTCTCTTATTTTCTTTCTTCGATAGAAAATAAGCTGAGATGACATGTTGAGGCAGGAAAACTGCACTCTGGAAATCCTAAAAAGGATGCTTGCTGGAGAGGTTCCCATCCTTCCCCCATGTTCACAACCAGCTAAATGGCTTTCACAAATACAACCTTGATAATGGTGGGTATTGACCTAGTTATCATGACGACCATGACATTCCTCATGTTTTCATAAGCCAGTCCTCTGTGGTGGGTGTGAACATGTAGGGCTGCCAAGTTAACTAACTTACACAGCCCCAAAGTCCAGCTCAAGATGCTGATGCATAAAGCACACTTTATTGTGGCCTGAAGGTCAGGGGCAAGTGAAGGAACTGCTTCAAAAAACTTTACTCAGGGCACCATTTGCAAGCCATAAGCCATCTTTCAAACAAATCTGAGTTACACATTACTAAACACAACCCTAAACACTAAAGTCTTTTATTGTGAGCCACAGAATCAAAAACAAGTGATCCATTATAGAACACTTGACACACATTCCTTAATTGTTTTCCTGAAGTTCATTGTTCTAAATGTTCATTTACAGTAGCAGCTTCAGTTAAAAAGTATAGCATTGCTATAACAGATAATACATGCCCACGATAAACATTTCTTCCATTTCCTGCACTGGAGCCTAGTTTCAAATACCACCGAAAAGAGCCAGATTCCAGTAATGCAAGCTACAGAATCCCACAGCATTTCTCCTTTAGATCACAGCATTCTTAAAATGAGCATATTCAGAAATAGAGCACACATGTAGCACCCTAACTTAAAAGATAGCACAAAAGATAGCACAGAGTCAAATACTGGAACAACGAAATGAAGATACCACTTTCTATAACAGCTTCTTTATTAGTTAAGGCACTGAAGGGAAGGAAAGATCAAAAATAATGTAATAGATTCAGCTTTTGCTTATCTCTTATTCAGGGGTACAGATCCATGGTGTTTCTCTGTAATAAAATGAAGAAACTGAACACAGAAGGGTGTTTCGGGGTCAAAGTGAATGCTCAGTGTCCAGGAGCATCTCTGAAAGGAATGGAGGGGTTGGGCCTGAGGACAAAAGACAGGATTCTGTCCCTGCACACTGGGGGGTACCCACCTGCCCCAGAGCAGCTCTGCTTTAATCCATGTTAAATCTTGTCCTTCCATGACTTTGAACAAAGGATCAAACCCAACTACTTCTCTAGCCCAGAGATTCTAATCACAGGTAGTTTTGACTCCCCAGGGGATATCTGGCAATATCTGGAGACATTTTTCCATCGTAACTAATAGAGGCTAGGGTGCAACTGGCACCCAGTGAGTAGAGGCCAGAGACGCTTCTAACCATCACAATGCACAGGACAGCCCTCCACAGAAAAGACATATCCAGTCCAATGGTGCCACGGTTGAGCAACCTTACTCTACCCCAACAAGGGTATCAAATGACAGTAAACACATGCTTACAATAAGAAGTGACTTTAATAGCTTGCCATCAATAAGGAAAGGCTTTGATTTACTGTTTCTAATGTAAGGATAGTTTGATTTGATGTTTTATGTCATCCTCCACGGCATTAAGGAAACTCGTCTGTCTTCATTTTCTGATGGTGTTATAGACTGAGTGTGTCCCCCCAAAATTTACACGTTGAAAAAATAACTCCCAATGTGATGGTATTGGGGTGTTGGGCCTTTGAGAGGTAATTAGGATTAGAGGAAGTCATGAGGGTGGGGCCCTCACAATGGGATGAGTGTTCTAAGAAGAGACACCAGAGAGCTCACTCTTTGTTGGGCATAACTTTGCGCGCATGCGCCCTGACGCGCACGGGCGCCAGTTCA